GGAAGGCTCAGGCCTCACTCTCAAATGCCACCTCCCAAAAGGCTGCCAGAGCACCAGGCTAAGGCTCCAGCCTGCCCACCAGCCACCATGACGTCACCCCATCACCTTCCTCCCTCGCTTTTCCTCTTCCAAATTGCACAGCACCTAACGAAGGTGCACCCCCTCTGATGCTGTGCGTCCATCTCTAGAACTCCCCCACTCCCCGCCGACAAGTGTGAGGAAGTCTTGCACATGGAGAGAGGTTTACTGCTGCATGTCTGTCCTGCTGGTGGCTGGGGTAGAACTTCCCACAAATCTCATTGGGAGGGAATGGGCACATGCACCATAGATCTGTTTCTCTTGTGGAATATTATGGAGTGGGTAACATGAAAGAACTGGGCGGCTGTGTGTGCTGCCATGGAGGTGCGTGGAGGCCTTGTCTCCAGCTGAGCACCTGCCGTGTGCCAGGCACTGTTTTAAGTATCTGAGGACCAAAGTATCTGCTCAAGTCAAGGGAGACCAACATAGAAACTAAGCCACAGGAATGATCCGCCAGATGGCTGATCCTTGCTGTGGAGGAAAAGGAAATAGGGCAGAGGGAAGGGAGGTTGCTCCGTTGTCTCCAAAGCCATATGGGGACAAGGGTCTTGGGCAGAGTGGGGATCTGGTCTGGAATTCGTGGGGTGACTGATGTAAGGGACCAAAAAGCTGTTGAGTTGGTCTTGGTGGTCTCCGGATAGATCAAGGTGGGCATATGCATGTTGGGGAGAGGCAGGGTCTTGTTCAGAGTGCAGAGCCCAAGGCCTCCCAAACCTACCTGGGCCTGGGGAGGCTCCCAGTGCTGAGGAATCTGGGGCTTCTTCCTCCCCTGTGCCAGACCCACCTGGTGCCTTCAGGCAGGTGACCCTTCCTGGCGGGTGGCACTGTCTCTCCCTGTTTCACACTAATTACTCTCTCCCTGGAGTCTTCAGACCTGGTGGCAACGGCCCCACACTGATGCCACCCCAGGCAATGACTCCATTCTGTGTGGCTTTAGCCACTGGATCACACTCCACAGGTATTTCGTTCATTCACACCATTACCCAGGCAAACAGTGCCGCCTGGGCTCCGATGGAACGTGGCATGTGATGGTGTTGGCTGTGTATGCCAAGTTCTGCAGGCACGGAGGCTTGTTTGGCTGTAAGCAGCCACTGTCCAGATCAGTACCCCAGGGAAGTAAGATCAGGGAAGGAAGGGGGGCGGCTGCTTGGTTTTCATAATGAATATGTATTGTTTTGTTATGTAGAAAACTAGACCCACAGCGGCCAGGACAGTCACACCACCCAGGCCAGCAAAAGGGGACACATGTCCTTCCCGGGCATGTGTGTGGAGCTCAGGGATGCTGGGTCAGGGGAGGTGATCAGAAAACATACAGGAAACAAAGGAAGGAAGGGAGAGGGAAGGAGGGAAGGAAGGAAGGAGGGAAGGAAGGAAGGAAGGAAGGAAGGAAGGAAGGAAGGAAGGAAGAAGGGAAAGAAGGAAGGAAGGAAGGAAGAGGTGACTGGGGGGAAGAGGGAACGGAGGGTGGATTCACACAAACGCCCGAGGTTGCAAAGCATTTCCTTTTAGCTCACACCCTCATACTTGGTTCAGAAACAGGAGCCTTTTAAATCCCATCTCAAATGTCCCTCTGGCCTGCTACTTAATTAAATGACCCCATAATGAAATTTCTCCCCGTTGAATCTATGTTTAATAATTAATTGACCTCGTCAGCCCAGCCAGGCTTGGAGGCTCATCAATTATGCATCCTTCCCTTCTGCGATCCGTGCTCACCTTCCAGGAAAACCCGGAGAGGGTCAGAGAGATTGGAGGCCAGGAAAGGCCTCGGGAGCTGGGGGGCACCCAAAACGATCTCCATGGCAGGGCTAGGGAAAAAGGGACGAGATGTATCTTAGGCCTAAAGCTTGCACTGTGGGGTTTGGTCCTTAAGCAGGCCAGAGCCTCACACAAAATTAGGCATGAAAGTAAATATTTGTTCAAAAAAGAGAACTGACAACCAATTACTATTTTTTTAAACAACTGGCACAAACCATGAAATACAAAAGAATAGCACAGTTTTTTGTTTGCCAAATGCTTGGCATTCTTTAAGAGTTATCAGTTCAGGGCAGATTTAAGATGAGTCACTGCACAAGAAAATTCACTGCATGGTGAAATGGCTCAGCTCAAGTAGGAAAGAAACTTGCAAAGTATTTTCCCCCCGAGGACCACTGACTCCTTGGTCATTTCTTCTGGCAAATATCATTTTCCTACAGAGGAAAGGAAGACCATTCATTCCATTCTCTAGAAAGTTTGATCAGAGAGCAAGAGCATTTCTGACAGTCTACAAGTTTCTTTTGGCTTTGCCACTTGGTATCGATAATGTCACAGAAGGTACTAGCTTGGTAGGGCTTCCCGTAAGACAGGACCTCAGACTGGAGGAGTTAAGTAACAAAAATGTATTGTCTCATAGTTTTGAAAGCTGAAAGTCTGAGACCAAGGTGCCAGCAGAGTTGGTTTCTTCTGAGGCTTTTACTGCCTGTGCATGGTCATCTTTTCCGTGTCGTCACATCGGGGTCATCTGTGTGTCTGTGTCCTAATCCTTTCTTATAAGGACACCAGTAATGCTGGATTGGGGCCCACCCTACTGAGCTAACTCATCCTTAATTACTTCTTCCAAGACTATCTTAAATATAGACACACTGCACTCTAAGGCACTGGGGGTTAGGGCTTCAATATATAATTGCCTGGGACTGCAGGCTGAATGTCAGATCTGGGGAATTCATTATCAAGTCTGTTTCCTACAAAGCTAAAACATTTCAAGGGCTTTCAAGGGCTTTCATCAACCAGTCTACAATGTCAGCCTGGAGCTGTGAAGCTAGCTCTGAGGTCAAGGTAGCAGAAAGAACTTTCCAGAAAACCATTCATGACTTAACATGCAGAGGATGGTGAGCTCTTAAGGTATCTCACTGTAACCAAGCTGAAGGGGATTCCAGCCAGCGCTCTGGCCAGGTCCCTAACACACCCGCAGCCACCCCAATAGACATCAGCAGGCAGAGCTTCCTGCAGTGCCCCAGGGGATCCTGCCCTTTCTCCTTCAGCTTCTGCTGATACCTGGTGTCATGGAGCTTACAGCAAGGCCACCTGGATGCCTGCCTCTGTCTCCACACAGCTTTCTCCCCCAGGTCTCTGTGTGTCTGTTTTCTGTCTGTCAGGAGAGGACCTGGCACTGGATTTAGGGCCACCTGGAGTCCAAAGAAGCTCAATTTGAGGCCCTTTATCTTAATCACATCTGCCAATGTTCTCAATGACATTACTACCAAAGACTCCAGGGATGGACTTGGACAGGTCATTTGGGAAGATTCTACTTGATTCCACGTAGGAGCGTCAACAATATCTTTGTCAGTCATGGCCTTAAAGAGAGCAGGCCAAGCCACAGTGGCTCAACTGTCCATGACCTGGACGCCTAGGACACCTTCCAAACCTCAGCTTGATTCCGGTGCTTCCATCAGTCACCCTGGCTCTGAGCCCAAATGCTCAAAGGCAGGTTTCACTCCACCAAGCAGAGTCACCCCAGCTTCTGTCATCCCCTCTGCTCCAATTTCTGTCACCCCTCTGTGCTCAGGATGCTTCCCATAGGCACAAACAACTTAATGTCTTCCAGGCCACTGGATGCTTCTTCAAATAGATTTGTTATAAAAACTCCAGCCTCATCCTAAGCAGTAACATCCATGAAATCAGAGGCATGATTTCCAATTACATCTGCATGTGTGGTTCTCTGCCTGTCCTCAAGTCAGGTGACAGCTAAGCCCTGGCATTTGACGCTCACATCAACCCTGCAAGGAAAGAACTACAACCATCATCCCCATTTCACAGGTGAAAGAACAGGTACAGAAGGGTAGGTGACGAGCTGGGAACACAGGAGAAAGTGGGAGCCACAGGGGAGAGGGACAGAGGGCAGAAACAGCCCTACAGAGGGGTTCTGGGTGTTCAAGAGGTGCGTAGGGAAGGGGGAGCCAGAGGGAAGGGGCGAGGGAAGAAGGGCTCCCAGGGATGAAATGAGCCCTGAACCAAGGCATGGAGAGCAAGGGGTGTCCAGCGGTCACCTCACAAATGTCCTGTCTCAGCCTGGTGTGGTTTTCCCTTCCACGCCCCAGTGCAGGGGTCTGCAGCCTTTCAACAGAGACTCAAGAAGGTGGAGAGAATTTAAGGACAGAGCTGGGGTGGAGTCCAAGCCCACTGCCTGAGCCCTGCCCTGAGAATGTCTCCTGTAGGGGCCCGTATCCCAAGGTGCACTCTGATCCATGCCAGGGCTCCCTCCACGGCCCCTGTCACCAGCCCAGCTTCTCCTGCCCACATCCTGCGGATCCCTCAGGCTCCGCCCAGAACTGCCTCAGTGGGATCGCTCCTGTGTCACCTCTTTTCAGGCCTTGCGGGGGAACTGTGCTTCAGGCACCACCCGGAAGAGGCCAAGTTCTGCCCTCACACAGGCGACGATCCTTGGGGAGGGACTTAGGCCAAGCCAGTTGCTGTGACACACAGCCCTGGGTCTTGGTTCCCAAATAAAAGAAAGAAGAAAAAACTTTATTTTCTCTTTACATTACAGCCGAATACAGATTGAGAGGGCAGTGACACCTCACAGGTCCTTCCATCTGTGACTCCTGAGCTTGGCATTCTCAACCCCTCCTGTGCCCCAGACCACTCTGCAAGTGGCAGAAGCTTAGGGACATCTCCTCAGAACGATGCCTTACAGGTAAATCATACAACACCTAGCATTATAAAGGACACCAGTTATATTGAAAAACAGTTAACAAAATATGTTCCCTCCCATCTGTCACAGGGAAATATGTATGATTCTGTATTAATACACTAATAAACAGTCTAGTGATACATTAAACAACCAGCTAGCTATAATGGCAAGTCTAGTACCATGCAATTTTATTTTATTCTATTCTATTCTATTCTATTCTATTCTATTCTATTCTATTCTATTCTATTTTATTTTTCAGGGGAGAGCACACATGAAGTCCCCCACTACTACAAATTATATAGTTGAGTTTCACATTTGGGGAAATCGCAGAGGTCAGCATATCCACAGTACAATGGATAAGGCTCGTCCTGGGAAAACCACCTTCGTGACCATGGTATCTCCCCAGCCAGGTAAGTATAATACTGTGTAGTTTTAAAGCAGTGATCAGCATAAGACTAGGATTGGCAAACTAAGGCCAACGAGCCAAACGAGATTTGTGAATAAAGTTTTATTAGCACATAGCCACGTTCATTGATGTAATGCCCACGGCTGCCTTTGGGCTGTAGCTTACATAGAGCTGAACAGTTGAGAAAGAGACTGTATCACATGGCCTAAGATATTAACTACCTGTATCTCCACAGAAGTTTATTATACACGACATTTTGGAGACAATCCACAGCAATTATCAGGTAGTGTGAAAACATTTGCAACCAAGCCTCCCACCCCCACCCCCAAATGGCACAGACCCTGCTACCACTCCTGTAGTTTGTAAAGAAAGGAAATGGTAATTTTCAATTAGAGATTAGTAAAAGCAAAGAAGCAGATTTTTAGGAATAGATCCCTGGGGTGTCTTGGTACTGACTCCAGATTAGAAAATTCTACTCCAGGGCCTGAAAGTTTCCCTCCTTGCATCCACTGTGCCAGTACAGGGTGCCATCTGGCTGCCGGGTCTGAGGTTTTCCACCCCAGAACCAAAGTGGTGCTCATCATCTTCACCATGCATTACTGGGCCGAACTGAACCACAGGGCCACCTTAGGTTTCGCACTAGGCATGCTGGGAAATGTAGTCAAATGGAGTGCTTAGCACAGACACAAGAAAGAATGGGAAAACCACATACAGAACAGGGAGGGTGGCCGTGGGTGCCGCAGGGTCAAGTCAGGCAGAGTAGAATGAACAGAGAATTCAAACCTCAGTCATGACGTTGAGTAGTACGGTCAGGGAACGGTGTTATAGCAACGGGAATCGCATGTGTGAAGGGCTAGAGGAGAGAGCAACTGGACGATTTGGAAGGACTCAAAGTGTGCATGCTAACTGTTGTACATTCTAGTGTCCATTCTAAATGGTGCTCAGCGTATCTGTCTTCCCCACCAGAATGCCAGCCTTTAGAAAAAGGGATCTGTCACTTCTGTTTTGTTCACTGCCGTTTTCTAGCACCTACAGCAGCACCAGGCACACAGCACACACTGTAGGATGGATCCTGTCCTGAATGTACCGGGATCTCAGTGCCAGAGACATCGGTATAAAACTGGGGGCGGGGAGTCCTGGAGATGAGCCATGGTGGGGGTCCACATTTTGTTGGTACAGATTTTCAGCACTGAGGGATGAGCTTGGATTCTTATTTTGAAAAGGGTGCTCTGGCTGCTATAGACAGAAGAGTCTGATCCCGACCATGCTGGCTTTGCTCAGCTGGCCTGCAGGCAGCCACAGCAAGTGAGGTGTTTGGGAAGGTGTGCGGTGGGGCCAGAAGGGCCTCTCACCTGAACTTGTGTCACTGAGAAGGACCTAAATGAGCTCTCGCCTCAGCTCCCAGGACCAAGTGGCTTAAACAAAGAGAAGGCTCAGAAGGCTCTGTGGGTCAGAGAGGAAGCTGCCGCTGATTGGGCCCCCTGCAGCCCCCATCTGCCCCACCCAGGTCCTGGGGAGACTGGAATTGTACAGATCAGTCCTGCAAACACCTTAGGCAAAAGATCGCTATTTCACTGCACCTTGATTAATGGGGAGGGCTCAGAAACGTTGGTGCAGTCAGTGCAAACGTGTAAAATAGGACACTTTGGAGCTCTGCTCCATTTCAGAGATGCAAGAACCAGAGACAGAGGTGACCCGGTCCAAAGGGCTCTGGGGGCAGCCCAGACTGCAGTCTCCAGAGGAGCTGTCACCAGCTGGTCCTCCGGGAAGGGGCTGGTCCTACCTGGCGCAGCCTCCTAGAGGGAGGTCGCAGGAGCTGAGGGGCACCGTGCAGCTCTAAGGACCGGATGCAAGCAGGGTCCGGGGTGCGGCGAAGGGGACAGGGTCTCCCTCCCCGCCCTGCCCACTACCCCTCCCCTCCCCTCCCCTCCCTCTCCGCCCCAGCCCCAGCCCCAGCCCCAGGCTGGAAAGCTCAGGGGACGCTGCCGCGGTAATGACCCCTCGACAGCTGCGCTCCCGCCCTCCGCGCCGCCGCCTCGGGAGACAGGTTCGCACCTGCTCGGGGCCATTTCTCATCAATTAGGCCTTGGCAGCGCTTGAATGGGGCCCGGCGAGGGCGCGTCCCGCCACCCTTTCCGCGCTCACAGATGGCAGCTCGGGCGCAGCTGCCCGCCTGGCTCGCGGGCGCCACAATCAGCCCAGTGTTCGCAGCCCCCAGGTTGGGCAGGGGCCCGGGCACACCTGTGCGGCGCAGATGGCGGTGCCTGTGGCAGCAGGCACCAGAGGGTCCCCTAGGGACTGGGAGGCTGAGAACGCGGCCCCCTCACCCTGTGGGGCGGCTCCTTCGGAGTCTGGAATCTGATAAGAAAGGGTCACCGAGGAAACAGCCCGAAGTAGCTGGACCAAGCCGTGCCTGCAGCCCTCTACCTGCACTCATGATTTCCTGGGGACGAGGGGGCTCCTCCCGGCAGCTGCAGGGAGTAGTAGCTCAGTACCCTAAAAGCCCAGCAGCAGGAGCTTAACTAGAAATATTAAGGCATTCTAAGAAAAGCACATAACGAGCCTGTGTTCAGCAACCGCTGTTTTGGAGATTCAAATTTGAAATCAGGCTCCATTGCTTTCAGGTTTTGTGAGCTTGGTCCAGTCTCTTTCCTTTGCCAAGGTCACCTGTTAGAGTGGTGTAAAAATAGCCTCCCAAGAGCTAAAAGAGATCGTGCTTTGAAAACGCCCAGAGTAGAACCTGTTACACTGTGGCCTTACTATAGACTTTTTCTGATTTCTAGATTTACTGTTAAGAATCACATGTTTTCCAATCAAATTGTATTCAAAGCTCAAGCGCCCTAGATGGTTCCTTCCACCTGAGGTAACCATCAGTAACAGTCTGTGGCCTGGCCCAGGAGTCTTCCACCTCACAGGTACACAAGCAAATACAGATTCTGAAATCGCATGAGAAGCCCTCTGACGGAGGTGGCTGGATGACTTGGACTCTGAGGCTAGACTGCTGCTGCTCTCCACGGTTTCCTCCTCGATCACCCCGCAAAACAGCTGTGAGAACGGGGCTAATGCCCACAGGCCATTTTCAACAGTGCAAATAGAAATGTTTGCTTTATTACATTGTTTTGCAGGTCTTTTCATTGTGTTTCAGAGGGGTTTTCCTGTACTTGAAAAGTCAAAGCACCATAAGCCAACTATGTACACAGACCTCTTCTGCGGGGGTCTGCAGTGAGCTCCTCATGCTGCAGTAAATACCCTGATGAAGTAGAGGAGAAACGACACCTTCCCATGAAATAAGTGCAGCCATACTGATCAGAAAGAGCCCCAGCCAGAAGAGAAACTATACCTTCCTGTGAGCCAGCCGGTGCATGGGCTAAAAACCAGTAAATCACACACCACCCACCCACACACACACACACACACACACACACACACACACACAGCGCTGATTCTCCAAGGGCTCATGGTGACATGATGGTAGCTGGTGAAGGGAATAGCTGGCTGCGGCTCGTATTGTTTGGTTGACTCTGCAGCCCTGGGCCTGGCAGTCAGGGCGTCCACCTGGAGAATGAAAGTGTGCACGTGGCAGCTGTGGGGATTTCCTCCTGTCTTGTTTTTGAAATCCAATGATTTGTTCCATTTTACTGTTCTGTTTATTCCTGCATCTGGTAACCCGAGTAACTATTTTGAAGATACCAATGTGCAGTATGGTTCTCGCTGCTTTTTTGGTGCCCATTTATTGTTTCATTGTGTTCAATGTTATGTTTTGATTGGTTTTATAGTGTTTTGTTTTGTTTGATTTTGCTATGTCTGATGATATGGACAACTACTGTAAAGATAGAAAGATAGATTCTGATAGCCTTTCTTGATTTCCTATTGTCGTATTTTGAAGCTCTGTACCACTTTTCACTGCTGTGTTTTGACTGGCTTTATTCTGTTTTGTTGGGTTTCATTGTCTTTAAAATAAATGTTTTAAAAATTTCAAAAATAAAAAGAAGAGAGAGAGTGATGAGTGATCATTGTGTATAAAATTTAGGACACTGCCAACAAACTCAGTAATCCAATCACATTTTAATGCAATAATTCTAGAAAACAGAATTATGCTAAAAATTGTCCATGATGCACAGAGTATCAAAGGCACATCTGACAGTGCCGTACTGGGACCTTTCTATATATTTTCTGTTTCTAAACATTTTATATATATTTCTATATATTTCTTTCTATATATTTTCATGGATTTTAAAGGTAATTTCCCCCAAAATATTAGTTGAAAAAATATATTGAAAAGTTAAAAGAAAAAGTATATCAAAAGTCACAGTATCTTGCATTTTTAAGTACTTAACTCATACTCCAAACAGAATTTGTATCAATTTTTCCTTTGCCAGCTTCAATGGAAGCAAACTCGTGGCTAATATTTGCAAAATTTAATTCTGGAAAGTAACTGAAAAAATTGTAATTGCTTTACAGACATATTAGGGATGTGTATTTTTCCTTTGTTCTTGGACCCAGTGTGACTCAGCCAAGTGACAGTTTTGTCAACTTGCCTAAGACACTCCCTCTGACGATCAACTCCATTTCTTCAAGCAACTTTTGGGATTAACCTGCTTTCAGCAAAGGGTCATTATCTCTACATTTGGCCCTTTCCGGAGGAGAACCAGGAGCTGCCTGCCTACCTGGGCTGGCTTTCTGTCCTCACTCACTGAGGCCGCCGCCATGAGAACGACCCAGCCAGCTCTGCAAAGCCCGGCAGCTCAGGTTACTCCAGGCTCCAAGCGCTGTCTTATCACTTCAGATCTGCAAAGCCCAGGCGCTTCATTCTCGGGGAAACCTTTTAACTCTGGGGTAGACAAACCCTAAAATCCCCAGAGCTGCCTTGGGGGCAATGAGCACAGCTCCCAGATGGGCTAGCTGTGGGACCCCTCCTGAGATGATCTCATTAATGGTTCTTTACCTGTGGCCAGGAGGGCTGGCCTTCCTTCCTTTCTTTGTGTCCTGGTGGATTTCCTGAGCTGCTGCCC